GTGGAGGAAGATGACGGTGACGATTATGAGAACGCGACCCCATCCTACAAGGACCTTCCTCCCAAGCCAGGTAAGGGGACTTCCTGGAGGCCGGCTGTGTGCCCTGGGGGAACAGAGGGAGTAGAGTCGCCAGGGGCATTAACTGGGCATCGTAGGCAGGGACCATTCCATGAGGACTGGGCTTCTCCATCCCCCATCGCTGAGTCCAGAGTGAGGCCACCCTTAGTGGGGGGGTCCAGGGACACCACGGAGCTCTGCATGAAGTAGGAGGTGTCCTGGGCTGTGCCGTTTGACTGCCCCGTCTCCAACTCCAGCATGGCTCTCACGCGATCCTCAAACCCAACTCCAAGAGCAGGTCCATAGTCATCTTCAGGGCTGCCCCTTCCCCAATCACCCCCTCCCCATCTCCACATGCAGCCTCTTATCTGTTTCCACATCCAGCTTCATCACTACTTCATACCCCAACTACAAGCCAACCTTAGCGTCTTTCCCATTCCCCAACCAGCAATGACTCCATTTTTCATCCTAACTGTGCTCCAGATCACAACTCTGCTCCCATATCCGGGGTCTTGCTCTGTCACCTGGGTTGGAGCACAGTGGTGCAATCACAGCTCACTGCAGCCTGGAACTCCTGGGTTCAGGTGATCCTCCTGCCTCAGCCTGCCGAGTAGCTGGGACTACAGGTGCACGCCACCACGCCTGGCTAATTTTTCTATTTTTTTGTAGAGACGGGGTCTCACTTTGTTGTCCGGGCTGGTCTTAAACTCCTGACCTCAAGTGATCCTCCCACCTTGGCCTCCCAAAGAGCTAGGATTACAGGCATGAGCCACCGTGCCTGGCCCAACCCCATCTCCAACTCCATCTCCAGCCCTTTGCTGCAAGGCGAACTCTGTCTCCGCTTCCTCCCACTTCCTTTGATCTCATTCCCATGTTCAGACTCGCCCTAACCCTGCGCTTCCCTCCTCCAGGCTGGATTGCTCCGCCAAGGCCCCCAAGGGCAGGTGAGTTGGGGCTGGGGGTGCAGGAGACTGAGGGCTGGCTTTGCCCTGCTCTGGGCCTGAGCAACCCTTCCTCCCCCTTCAGAAAAGAAAGCGGAGAACCCCCCACTTCCTTGCAAGGCCCCGAAGACAACAGGTGAGAGCCTACAGCTGGGATCTTCCCGCTCACCTGGCCGAAGCCTTACTGAGAATGACCAATGTCTTTCTGATCCCTTCCAGGCCTGGACCTGCCCCCCGTCACCTGCGTATCTCCTCAACCAGGTGAGCAGTGGGAAGATCCTTCAGGAAGCCCAGGAGGGGACATTTGGAGGTTTCCTTCCAGCTGCCTAATTCTGAGCAGAGAATAAAGGCAGAGGTTGTTGATCTCGGAAGACCGAGTTCTTAGGCACCTTCTGAATAAACCTCTCTCCCCCTTTCTCCCAGGGGTCGACCTGCAGCCTCCTCCATTTCAGCCGTCTCCAGCTGGTAAGTCCTCGTCCCCCTCAGGTTTCGCCTGTCTCCCCTCTGACAGCGGCCAGTGTATCTGATTTAGACCACAGCTCTGGAGGGAAACCCTGAGTCAGAGAAACTTCTTTAAGAAGCTGCCCCAAGGCTGGGCATGGAGGCTCAAGCCTCTAATGCCAGTGCTATGGGAGGCCAAGGCAGGAGGATCATTTGAGGCCAGGAGTCCAAGACCAGCTGGGGCAATGTAGCAAGACCCCATCTGTACAATAAATAAAGCAAAAAAAAAAAATTAGCAAGGTGTCTGTAGGCCCAGCTACTCGGGAGGCTGAGGCAGGAGGATGGCTTGAGCCCAGGAGTTTGAGGCTTCAGTGAGCTATGATGATGCTACTGCACTGCAGCCTGGGTGACAGAAAAAAACACTGTCTCTTTAGAAAAAAAAAACTACAGAAAAAGGAAGCTACTCCTCCCAGAGTCAAGGCCAGATCCCCCCAGGGACCCAGGGTGCCTCCTGGGTAATCTTCAGACCCTCCTCTTGCTTGCATAAGACGTGGGAAATGTTCTTTGCCCTGGGAGCAAGGGTCCAGAGGCTTCCTTGAATGAGGAGCAGCTTGGTCAGGGGCTTCTGGAGAGTAGAAGATGATACATCATAGACATTAAGCACAGATCTGGGTCCAAGTCATGCAACACCTCACCAAACCTCCGTCTACTTACTTATAAAATGGGAATAATTCTGGTTGGGCGTGGTGGCTCACAACTCTAATCCCAGCACTTTTGGAGGCCGAGGCAGGAGGATCATTTGAGGCCAGGAGTTTAAGACAAGCCTGGGCAACACAGCAAGATCCCATCTCTAAAAAAAAAAAATCACAGTA